CTCTTCAGTTACGCAGTGCCTTCTTCATTGGGTAGTACCAGTTGCTAGAGGGCTTATGACAGCTGGCTGCAGAACAGTGAGACCGTCATGCTTCAAGAGGAGCATGTAAGGGAAAACGTAGTCCAAAAAAAAGAAAAGAAAAATTGCAAATGCAAAACTGGGAAAAATATCATTGATTTTAAAACTTTTTAAATGATCTTTTCTTATTTAGTGCCATTTCAGCACAAATAGAAACTGGGTTCAAAAAATATTACACACTTCATGTTTGTGTCATGAACATGTCCTGTTAGTAGAGTCTGTGGTTATATGAAAATAAAGATTTGAGTTAGTGTTAAAAATGCTTTGTTAATGTGTTTAACTGCCAGTTAACTGTGTGCCTGTGTGTTTTAAGTGAATAAAAGAAGTCATTTTTTTTCATTATGTTTTGAACAGTGTGCTAACGTTGTTCTTTGTGCTACGGAGAGCTCAGGGTACAATCAAGTTTAGTTTCTATACTTGTGTTAGAAATGCAAAAGGGGAAAAAGTGGAATAGAATCAATAATATAAAAGTGTTATTTATTATCAAATGATGCTGAAAATGATACCTGATGCTTATAGAAATATATAACTATAGTTCTTTATAATTAATAGGGTTGTCTTATAATAGTTATTTATTAAATGTAGAGTACATTAATAAAGTGAGCCTACATTTTGTGATAAGGATAGAAAAATAATCCATAAAGCAAATTCATTATTTCTTCCTAAGTAACAGCCTCAGAGCGTGTGTGTGTGTGTGTGTGTGTGTGTGTGTGTGTGTGTGTGTGTGTGTGTGTGTGTATTATGACTTGTATTGTTAATCTTTTGAAAGAGCTGGTAATCATAACCAGCCGGATAGGGTAAAACTGTTTTAAGTTGGCATTTTTCCTTGGTCAGTTCATGATAGGACAGCAGTCATCTTGCCAGAGCAACAAGTTAGCCGTAGTATATGGCTATACCCATAGCTTACATAAGCTTTATTTTGCTATCTCTGTGTCAATCCTTTTCTCGTTTTTAGCGTGTTGCTGTTACAGCAAAGTGTAAATATTTTCTTGCAGCATTTTGCCTCTGTAGCACTTTAAAAAAAAAAAAGGTAAGATTAAAGTAGGAACACTTTTAGAAAGAACAGCTTGAGATAAAGCAGCACTAAAATATGAGCTATTGTTATTACTCTTGACTGCATGACAACAGAATTACTTTCTTAACAGCTGGAGGGTCTAAGTTAATTGTGATTTATCCAATGCTGGATTTTAGTGCTTTCTGCTTTTTAAGGGGCTCTGTCTTGATTTGATTTCTTGCCAGTGTTCTGAGCCAGTCTGCATTTTGTAGTTCATTTGCACATTTGGCTAGACGTAGAGTGGTGATGGAGTGGGGCGGAGGGTGCTGTGTGTTTAATTCCCACCATAAAGCTGCCACAGTGTCTGTACTCTGTACCCGTCTTACTGGTAAGAAAGACTAGTCATCTGATAACCGTGCCATGAATATGGTCACAGGTTGACTTGAATAATGCTGAATTCCATCCTGTAACAAGTTGAGTTAGGAACCTCTTGGCAGTCTCTGTGAAAAGTCAGTGGCCAGTAATGGGACTTCTCAGCTGTGATTCTTAGAATGGGGAAGGACCATGCAGTTCTTTGGAACAGTACAAACAGCAGTTATAACAAGCAGCAGTTTTTTCAAAACTTGCTGAGATCATCCTTTCGAGCATGCTTAGTTGTGTCTGACTGTTTGCAACCCCATGGACTGTAGCCTGCCAGGCTCCTCTGTCCATGGAGTGTTCTAGGCAAGAATACTGGAGTGGGTTGCCATTTCCTACTCCAGGGGATCTTCCCAACCCAGGGATCGAAGCTGCATCTTTTGCTTCTACTGCACTGGCAGGCAGATTCTTCTACCACTGAGCCATCTGGAAAGCCCTATTTTATCATGGGCCAGTAAAACTTCCAAAAATAAAATTTGGGAGTATTTAGCAGAACTTTGTTTTATTTTGCTGAGTGCAAACATTAAAAAGTACCACTATCTATATCATTTTATATAAAAAAATTATTCACCAAAAAAGCAGTAAGTACATAACCTTAGAATAATCACTCTTTTAAACTGAATAAATTTAGCTTTATGAAAAAAAACACTCATTACATTATTTATGTTTTTACCATTTCACCAGAGAGTCATGGAAACTTGGACATAGACCAGCACAGGTTTGTAGCAGATTCTTGGAAATTTGTGTTCTGTGCATAATTTTACTGTCCGTGCTGGGTGCACACTGTATAAAGTAATTTTCAGTATTTGCCAAAGCAAGAATTCTGCATTAAGTACTTACTGAATCATGATGATAAACCTCATGTGAAGGAAAAAAAAGCTTTTTAATGAAAATTTCATATGACCCAGGAAATTTACTAATTTAGCAGATGTGAAAAAGTAATAAAATTAACTTTGGACTAATTTTGGAACTAATTAACTTTGGAATAAATACCAAAGATGCCATATTGTTGTTTGTTAAAATCCTCCAAGCCAGGCTTCAGCAATACGTGAACCGTGAACTTCCAGATGTTCAAGCTGGTTTTAGAAAAGGCAGAGGAACCAGAGATCAAATTGCCGACACCCTCTTCCTGCTGGGAGGGCGGCTGCTGTACTGGATATGTCATCAACCATTTAGTGGACGTGATACAGCTAAGACAGTCGAGACAATGACGACTTGGTATAGCTGTATTTAGCCGTTGAACCAGTAATAGCAACCTTCTCATTGTGTGAGAAAAGATAAAACATCATTTATTTCATCTTCTGTTTTGGTAGAGGGTCATGAATAAAGCATGGTTGTAAAGATGTAAGTTGTGTTCAGAGATGTATACTGGCCCCATTGCCCGTGGCCTGGGCCCAGGGGCCTGCAGCGAACCACCTGCTGTCCTCTTCTCAGTATCTCATCTACAGCATGGGGACAGATCATTGTTTTCTAAGATCTTTTCAACTGGAAAATGCTGTGATTCTAATTCATCCAATTGGCTGGGGATAAGTAGATCAGAATTTAAGAGGCGGTAGGTCTTGCCCCTTCCTAAAAATCTAACCTCTCCTTCACTTAGAACTTTCCGGTGTTTCCCCATTGTCACCAGAATAAACAGACTCTTGGCATGGCATGTAAGGCCCTTTGTGATCAGGCTCTAAGAGCGTGTCCTGTCTCGTGTCCCTCTGCTATATTCCATCCCCTTCCTCCTCTTTTCCCTCTTGCCCATCACCCCAACCCTTTCCCTTTCCTCTGACAAATTTCCCAGCCCTGCTGAACTGTGTGTAACCGCTTGGTCTGGCCACGTTCCCGCTCATCTCCTGGTCTTTAGACGTGCTGTTCTTTCTGCCTACAATATTTTTTATTCCATACTCCTCTCCCGTGAGTGACCAAGTCCTCCTTAGCATTTAGGTTTGGATATTCAGCTCACCTTTCCCTTCTTGTATCCCTAAGATCAGATTAAGTGCTCCTGTTAAGTTCTGTCTTGATACCTTGAGCTTGTAAATATTTTAACACTCTTCGTGATATATTCAGATTCTGTTTGCTCACCTGCATCCTGAGCTGGAATGAATTTCCTTGGAAAAAACTGAGCCTTGTTCTCTTTTGTCTGCCCAGCGCTTAACATACTGCAGCAATACTCTGTAAATAGTTCTTACAGGAATCTTGGGATGGAAGGGTTGGGACCAAATTGTGAAAAGTCTTGAATGAATATCAAGCCAATGTGTTAAACTTCTTAAAGCTGCCACTGGGAAAGCCTTTTACAAAAGACTCAGTCATAGTGGCAGATGGTGGCATCCTTCTCCACCCTGCTGTCTCAGAGAGGTAATGTTCCTGGACTGTAGAACAGTGGGGCACTTAGGTAAAATAAGTTAATGTATGCTTTTGGACAAAATTAGATTCCGTCTTGTACAGATTAAAATACAACCTTTATTGGGTACACCCAATTTTAGAAATTGGGTGAGAGAGATTTTAGAAAAGTTCTGAGTGATAAACTTAAAATTCATAAAGTTCTGTCACAAGTTTTTTTTTTTTTTTTTCCTGTCAATAGAGAAAGTACTATCATTGTCTTAATTTTAGCTTTTTTATCACCTTGGTCCATATTGCATAGCACCTAAATCATATGGAGTCATAAGTTAGATAAAAACTCTAAATTACAGAATATAAGTTGAAAAGGAATAAATGTACCTTTCCCCCATTATTATTATCATATAAACCATTTTTTTTAAAATCTGGTTGTTTAGTACCAACAGAAAGAATATATGATACAGAAATTTGAATCCTGAGATATCTTCAGAACATAAGTGTCAGTATTGCTGGTAACTTTCAAGTCGTAAGCATGTTATTAATCAACAAGGCTAGAAATCAGGCGGTTTACCTTAGAAATCCTCTTTATCTTCTCATCTTTACATGTTTTGTTGGGAATAACTTGTTAGAGACAGATGTGGAATTTTAACATCTGTATGTCTTTATAACTCCAAAACAGATCATTGAAAAAAAAAAAAAAACAGACACTTACTAGTAGATTTAAAATGTGTGTGTTAAATAGGTCATTTTCCTCTCTACTTCCCTTGATGCCTCCCCGAATGGTAGAAGCTTCCCCGCCAGAGCTGTTGGGGTCTTTGCTGTGTGTTGTTGTTAGTCACTAAGTTGTGTCTGACTCTTTGAGACCCCATAGACCGTAGCCCGCCAGGCTCCTCTGTCCATGGGATCTCCCAGGCAAGAACACTGGAGTGGGTTGCCATTTCCTTCTCCAGGGGATCTTCCTGACCCAGGCATCAAAATTGTGTCTCCTGCACTGCAGGTGGTTTCTTTACCATGAAGCCAACAGGGAGGCCGTCCTTCTATTTACCGCCATTTCAATTCATTCTCATTTAACAGTTGGCTATAACCTAAAAAAGTAAATCCAAAGTGGTTTACACTTTGAAAATATAGTTCAAAGAAAACATCACAAGGAAAAGTATTTTATCGGTCTTTTTTCCTTTTGCCATTTTAGGTAAGGCCCTGACATTTCTTCTGCTGCAGCCGCCGAGCCCTAAGCTTCCCCCACACAGCACCATCCGCAGAACAGCCGTCGACCTGATTGGGCGCGGTTTCACCGTCTGGGAGCCGTACATGGATGTGTCTGCCGTCCTCATGGGGCTTCTCGAGCTCTGTGCTGACGCTGAGAGACAGCTTGCCAAGTAGGCGTTCCGTCTCAGTGCATCTGGCTTCTGCTGCTTTTGTTTCGTTTCAGCAGAGGTCACTGATTATAATTTTTTAAATAATTTTTAAATTTTATAAAAATAATCTTTGGGGGGGCATTTTTAATGGACAGAAAAGTAGACCAGTATCTCAAGATATGAAATTTTGGAAGTAGACAATGAAAGGGAGATATGTCTCTGTAATTTTAATACAATTGAGCTTTAGCTGTAAGCCAGTGAAGCATTTATCTGTGACATAGTTTTAAATTTATTTTTATTGCACTTTGAGATATTATCAGCTAATAATAGTATAAACATGTCATATATAAGGAAAATAATACACATGGTTGCTCAAAATGTTGTACTGATACAATACATGGCCCAGTTGTTGGGAAAATTACTCCTTTGCCCTCAGGTTAATTTTTAGACCTACTTTATTGAGGTTTTATCTGCACACAGTAGACGATCAGCCCTCACGGGGTTGCAGTGGTCCAGGGAAGCGGGAAGAGAGCAGTGGGCAAGGAGGAGGAGCTGAGGCAGTTCCTAAAATGAAACTGAGGCCGGCGCTAAAAGTTAGTATTGAGAACCCAGCCTCCGGCTTCCTGGAGGGTCTTTTTTGTTTCTCTTTGATGGTGTAGATTACATAGAATATGAAATTGACCACTGAGTCCCTCTTAAAGGATACAGTTCAGTGACACTGACTGCATTGCGGTTATGCTGTCACGAGCACTCCCTGGTTCCCAGGTGTGGTCACCTGATGGAAACTCCACGTCCATTGAGAAGTCACTTCCCGTTCTCTCCTCCCAGTGGCCCCTGACAGTCTTCCGTCTCTGTGAGGTTGCCTGTCGTGGCCGTTGCACATAGATGGAGTTGTATAGTATGTGGCCCCTTGTGTCTGACTTCTCGCTTAGCATAATGATCCCAAGGTTCGCTCGTGTTTCAGCCTCTTTTCAGTCCTTCATTTCTTTGTATGGTTGAGCAATATTCCATTCTGTTGATATACCACATTTTATTTCTCTGTCCATTGATGGTCGTTTGGGTTGTTTCTACTCTATTCCACTGTTGTGAATAGAGCTGCTATGAAAATGCAGATTCGTGTAGATGTATTTGTTTGAACAGCTACTCTGATTTCTCTCAAGTGGATGACCTGAAAGTGGAATTGCTGGGTCACATGGTAGTTCTGTGTGTAGCCTCTTAAGGTGAATCACCAAGCAGTTCTCCACGGTAGCTACACGGTTTTATACGTGTGCTAGCAGTGTGCAAGGGTCCATTTTCTCTACATCCTTGCCATCACCTGTCTTCTGCTTTTGTTGTTGCTTTTCAAGCATAGTCATCCTAGTGAGAGGAAGTCCTAGTGGTAGGAATTCTTGAATTCCCATCTGTCTCATGATGCCTTTCTCAGTGTACAGGCAGATCTTGTTTTATTGTGCATAGCTTTATTGTGTTTTGCAGATACTGGGTTTTTGTGTTGTTTTTTCTCTTTTTACAACTCAGATGTTTGTGCTGACCCTGCATCAAGGAAGTCTTTTGGCACCATTTTTCCAACAGCATTTGATCATTCATGACTCTGTGTCTTGTTTTTGTAATTCTAGTGATATTTCAGGCTTTTTTTTATTATTGTGTTTGTTATGGTTGTCTGACGTCAGTAATCTTTGATGTTATTTTTGTAACTGTTGTGACCTTTTTAGCAATAATGTATTTTTAAATTAAGGTATATACATTTTAAGAAATACTTAATAATATTGGGTCCTTATAGCCTATAGTGTAATATAAACATACTTTTTATATGCTTGCTGAGAAGCTAAAAATTTCACGTGATTCGCTTTATTGTGATACTTGCTTTACTGCGATGCTCTGGAACTGAACTTATAATATCTTCCGGGTCTGCTTGTAACTGTTACCACCTCTTGATTTTTTTTTCAGTGAAGGACATTTCATTCTTATCATTATTAACCTTTAAAAAAACTAGAGTTCTCCGCCCTTTTCTCCATGGCTGCCTCTCTCATATCCATGCTTTGGGCCTGTCTTTCTGCTGCTTGCTCTGTGCTCAGAAGTGGACACCAGAGCAGCAACTGAGGCTTGACTGGGACACCGTGACTTTGTCTTCAGGCTGGGCATCCCCGTTTCAAAGTCCCGAGATTGCTGAGTTGGGGAAGGGAATTCATCTCAAACCTAAGCGGCTGCCCTCCCCCGTCACCTCCTGCCCCACCGCCAGGCTTCCTGAACTCACCTCTGTGTCTCCTTGCTCAGTGCCCTGCAGCAGGTTAATCACCTCTCACCTCAGTTCTGTCTACAAGTTGGGGCTAATTAAACACTCGCCTCATAAGACTGATGGTCGGTGGGTTCGTATTTGTCAAGTGCCTAGAAGAGCACTTAGCACGTATTAAGACATTGGATGGATGTTGCCACCTGATGTTGGGCGGGGGGTGTGGATGGTGACGCCACTGTCATTTTCCTGGTGCTCGACAGCTAAAGAGACGCCCATTTCTAGAAGGAGCACTTCCACATCATGGCAGCCACGATGATTTCTGAACACAGGAGGCCTGAAGGTTCTTGGCTGACTTAAGGAGTAGGAGGGACGATGAGCCCATGAGTCGGCAGTAGTCGTAAGAGGCAGCTGGCCTGTGTGCGAAGCCCGACACGCATTTCAGTCTTTCATCCTCCCCTTGGCCGCAGCCGTGGTTGACACCTTCCCGGAGCCAGCAGAGTAGCTTTTGTTACCTCAGCTCTCCTGCTTACCTTGCTGCTGCTGCTGCTGCTAAGTCGCTTCAGTCGTGTCCCACTCTGTGCAACCCCATAGACGGCAGCCCACCAGGCTCCGCTGTCCCTGGGATTCTCCAGGCAAGAACACTGGAGTGGGTTGCCATTTCCTTCTCCAGTGCAGGAAAGTGAGAAGTGAAAGTGAAGTTGCTCAGTTGTGTCCGACACTCTTCGAGACCCCATGGACTGCAGCCTATCAGGCTCCTCCATCCATGGGATTTTCCAGGCAAGAATACTGGAGTGGGGTGCCATTGCCTTCTCCTCCTGGTTACCTTGAGAAGCCTTTAATATTTTTGATTGTCCAGAATTCGCTTCAACTGAATTTTATAGCCTATTTCAAATCTGATCCAAACACAATTTCAATAATTATGCGGTCTTGTTTTGCTGCCTGGGAGAAGTGATAGGTTTTTATTTTAGGCTAACCATTTAATATTTTATTTCATGTTTAAATAAGTTCACATGAAGCTTATATCAGCAAACATAAAGATGTGCTGTGCTTTATCTACATGGAGTATGTCCACAGACACCAATGCTTGGGTTCTCAGTAGGTAATTTAAATCTTGCTTTTACATCCTTTTCTGTCATGAAGGTTAGTATAACTCTCTCCACACAGCTCTGAATAAATGAACATATCAGCATGTAGCCTTGAGGAGTTCAGTGTAATTTTCATTGTGATAAATTGCATAATAAGCAAGAAAATGTTTGCTTATTAATCTATAACAAGATATAGATTGAAAGTGGCCTGTCCCATCCCTGACTCCCTTGGTGCAGGCTGCAGACGGCCTGAGACGCGGCGAGGCAGAGCGGCGGGGGCGACTGGGCGTCCTTCCGTCCCGGTGCCTGTGGGCCGCCCCTCCCGCGCCCGCTCGACTGCACGCATGGCAACGGCACCCAGCCGCCTGGCTCCTGACTGTGATCGTAAGCTTGCTTTATGAGGGAGCCTTTATGTCAGTCTTCTCTTTTTAAAAAGGAAAAAAAAAATACAGAGTGCTTCCCTCTTTATTCCAGTTCTTGTGAGTGTATGCAGGGGACCGAGGGAAGGACAGAGAGTCCGACGGAGGACGCTGATGCAGGGGACCGAGGGAAGGACAGAGAGTCTGACGGAGGACGCTGATGCAGGGGACCGGGGGAAGGACAGAGAGTCCGATGGAGGACGCTGATGCAGGGCACCGGGGGAAGGACAGAGAGTCCGACGGAGGACGCTGATGCAGGGCACCGGGGGAAGGACAGAGAGTCCGACGGAGGACGCTGATGCAGGGCACCGGGGGAAGGACAGAGAGTCCGACGGAGGACGCTGATGCAGGGGACCGGGGGAAGGACAGAGAGTCCGACGGAGGACGCTGATGCAGGGCACCGGGGGAAGGACAGAGAGTCCGACGGAGGACGCTGATGCAGGGCACCGGGGGAAGGACAGAGAGTCCGACGGAGGACGCTGATGCAGGGCACCGGGGGAAGGACAGAGAGTCCGACGGAGGACGCTGATGCAGGGGACCGTGGGAAGGACAGAGAGTCCGACAGAGGACGCTGATGCAGGGGACCGAGGGAAGGACAGAGAGTCCGACGGAGGACGCTGATGCAGGGGACCGAGGGAAGGACAGAGAGTCTCCCATCGTGTGTCCTTCAGAAGTCGGTAGCAGCCTGAGCGAGCTGCCCTGCCGGGAGCAGAGTCCGTCAGACTCTCTGTCCTTCCCTCGGTCCCCTGCATCAGCTCCTCCGTCAGAGAGGACCCCTGAGGGGGCTTCTGAACAGCTGTATGTGGCTCAAGCCGAATAGAGCGTTTTCCCAGAATTAGGGTTTTAATTTTGAAATAGGACTTTAAAATCTTGCATCTTTGGAATCAAAATAAAACCAGCTGTTTTCTACTGTTTTCAAACATCTCACCAAATTTTAAGCTATGTTTATTAACTGAGCAAGCATCTATGGAAGGGACAGTGTTGGGTGCTATATGTAGTGACAAAGTAGCATGAGACCAAGATCCTAGAGAGCCCTTGCAGTTTTACAAGAAAGAGAAGATCTGACAGGAGGAGAGTAAGTGGTATGCACATTCAGAGCGTGGCCGATAAGGCACAGCGGGACACCCAGACAGCACCCAAGGAAGAGGGTCAGAGGAACCTTCATCTCAGTGACTCGGTGACCGTGGAGAGAGGAGGGGACGGGTGGGACAGCGTAGGTGTGTGCCAGAGAGGCTGGCGAGCAGCTCCGCACGCAGGAAAGTGAAAGGAAACGTTCTTGTTTAGCTA